GTACCATTCCACATTACGCTGAGCCTTTTCACGCAAAGCTGCACTGTTTGTATGTACGCTCTACCATTCGACATCACGCTGAACCATTTCACGTAACGCTACACCGTTTGTGCGTACGCTGTACTACTCGATATTGTCTTGAGTCATTTGACGCAACGCTAAACCACATGTGTAGTGTATTGCAAATGAGTGCTAGGCTATTCGCAATTTAGCTGGTCCATTTCATAACTTCATGTTCCAGCTTGACATGGGCAACTAGACCGTTTATCATTTGGCTAAACTATTTATGTTTAGGGTGTTCTGTTTCATGAAGGAAGCCTAGACTGTCTATAATTTGGCCATGCCATTCCTTTATTAGCCATGCTATCCTGCAGCTGATCCTTAAATCATCTTTGCATTTACTGATCTATTTGACATCTTTGTATTTTTGGTGACGGCCCCGCCCATAGACTGGACCTCCAGGCGTCAGTGACAATGGATCAAGATGTTCCCGGGAAAAGTATCGCACAGCAGTAAGGTTTTTTTTTTTTTTTTATATCTCGCTCTGTTGAACGTTAAGTAATAGCCAAAGTTAGCAGAGGAAAAACCCGTGGCAAAAAAGGGAAAGCTGAAGAAACTGCTGAAAAGCACAACAGTGAATCGACAGACAGCTGAAGGAATGCCCTTATCGCTGAAATGAGTTCCAACGGGAAGGTTTATTCATAACTTCATACGATTCGAAGCGATTGCCTATGTTTTTGTATCAAGGCCAGTACTTGCTTATTGAAAGGAAACTTCTTTTTTTAACCCTATGTACGACAAACGTTGATCTGATGGCGCCCTCTTTGTTAGCAATTTGGATGCCAGCGTGGAGAGGATGCCAGGACTGTTTTTTTCCTGAAAAAATGGTGCCATTTCTCTCTTTTCCTTCGCCCAAGGACTCCTCTTTAATTTTGATTTATGTTTTTTATTCATGAGAAAAGACTTCCATTAGCAGAGAACTTTCACGTGTGAATTTTGTCAAGTGCGTACTGTAAAACAAAATATGCAAATAAAATAAAGCTGCCACAAATATTCCGCTAGGGGTTCGCCCATTTACGATATTATGAAACCTTCCTGATTTATTAACTTTGATAATGCATTAATTACATAACAAAGTACTACCATGCTACTTGAGGAAATGTTTCCTCGCAACAATTTCATTGTCATGAAGAGAATGTCTGCATGTCTTTATACTACTTAAAGGGCAGCACTCTCTAGAAAAAAACTGGGTTACAGTCACTCATGAGGAACACTGGGTTACACTGCACCCATGGGTGTGCCACCTAAAGTGCAGCCTATGTTAGTAACATCTACCTAAAAAAAAAAAAACACTGGGTTACACTGCACCCATGCGTGTGCCACCTAAAGTGCAGCCTATGTTTGTAACATCTACCTCAAAAAAACAAAAACTGGGTTACACTGCACCCATGGGTGTTCCACCTAAAGTGCAGCCCAGGTTTAGTTATCTTTAACTAAATAAAACACTCGGTTACAACTGCACCCACGGGTGTGCCACCTAAAGTGCAGCCTGTGTGAGCTATCTTAAACTAAATAAAAAAGTGGGTTACACTGCACCCATGGGTGTGCCACCTAAAATGCAGCCTATGTTAGTCATCTTTGACTAAACAAAACATTGGGTTATACTGCACCCACGGGTGTGATCTCTAGCTACAGAAAATACTGTGTTACTCTACACTTTTAGTTTCACCTGCTGAAAAAGAGCTTAACGCTGGCTCAAATTGCTCTTGAAAACAAAGACATAAAGTAATTTTGAAGATGTAGATGAGAAAAAAGAGCCGGCTTAACTAATAAAAAAAGCTTTCTTATCTTTTCCATAGCTACATCCCTCACTGTTCAATTCCTGCCGGTTGAAACTTGTTTGTCGTTTTGATTATGCTGTCTCTTTTTGATATATTTTTGCTATTGGCTGGTTTAAATTTATTCAAAATGCTTCCCTTCATCACAGCTTCCCGAGGCGATAAAAGTAATTCTGTACGCATGATGCACGATCCTCGCAGTAGAGAGCGCTATTTATGCAATAGCGAAAATCAGACCTGAAAAAGTATTTCTAGTATAGTCTTAACCATAGGCTCACATATATTATACCCAAAAAGGTACACCTTTAGAGAATTATCATCACATTCTAGCCAGGAAAACTT